TTGTTGTTGTCAATCTAAAGGTCACATGTGTGCTCTTGCAACTCTACTCTTAATCAGGAGATATCTTTTCTGGTTCTTGCTCAAAACAGGTTATGAAGCAAGTCCACTTCCTGTCTGATATTATCTGCTCTGATAGTGAACATACCTCACCTCATATTGGTTCCCTTTTTGATTTCCTGTCAAGTTTATTGTTGCTGTTGAGGCCTCCATTTTTATAAAAAAAAAAAAAAAAGAGCCTTTGATTTTTGTCATTAGTTGGCGGGAATTTCAACAGACTTAACTTCCAGTCACTCAAAAAAGAAAAACGTTTCCCTCTAAAAAAGAATCCAGGACTACAAAGGTTTTTCCAGTTCCTTCGTTCCTGTTCCTTTGAAGACAATGCTCTGCTTTGATGTGGCCTGAACTTTGCTGCAACTTGATGCCAGCTTTAATATCCATGGTGAGAACAAGCAAGTGGAAGGCTTTCATTCTGAAATGCTGAATGAAAAGTTTGCATCCAATATGAGATTCTTTTTTACCACTTGAAAGACATTACAGTTCCTCTTATGAAATGATGAAAAAAATGACACCTCTAAAGACTAATTTTAGCTCATGTTAATGCGCAACAACATTTTAAAATTGCCTGGGGTAATGTTTTTGGAAATGGGACACATAGAACTTTGGTATCAAACTCTCATTGCCTAAATCTTAGCTTCAGCCTATTAAGTGTCAGTGAAAACTCAAATCAGTTTTCTGTTTGTAGGTTTAGAGACATTTTGCCTCCCACCACACTGACATGAAGTGTTAAGAAATGATCTATATCCTTCTACGTAAACATAAATTCATTATTTTGAGTGTGTATGTGTGATAAAAGGCTGCTGCTTGTCTTGAAGTACACTTTTATTTTACCTCATATAGACCTTTGCTGAGATACAACCACCATGTCAGTGTAGTCTTCAGCGTGCTGTGCGATAGTAAAGTGAGGTATAGGCGAGGAGAAACTGTCAGACTGCAACTGAAGAAGAGTTCAAACAGAGGGCATCGCTGCTCTGCCTGCTGGGAGGCCTTTCATGACGTTTGACCCCTTTACTTTTCAGGGCTTTAATAATAAAAAATAAAAAAAAAGGGTTTTGATCCCAGGAAGGGAGAGGAAGAGTCGGACGCAGAAAGGGAGGGACACTAGCTGTTAAAGATTGAGTCAGAAATCTCTAATGCAAAATAACACTTGATTGTTCTTGCTTGAAAGAGGCAAAGTCAACGAACGACCCAGAAAAACACACCATTAAACTTTAATGTAAATGTGAGTTATGGTAGCAGTAGTTGTCCATGCACACACATAGACAGCTTTTCTAACTAGAGCTTTCCTTCACATTGCTGCAGCTCCTGAGGTTAATTAGGTAGGACGTTGTCTGCATATTTGACTAATCCACCAAGAGTCTGCATTCCTGCAGCAGCACCTCTCCTCCATTATCTAATCTCAAGTCGCCTACTAATTCTATTTAAACTCTGCAGGCTAGCTTTATGCTCTTAGTGAGAGCACAGAAAACAATGGAGATGCGATATGGCACCAAGCTGAGTCCTGGAATTTATAGGTGGGACATTGTAGAGCAGAACGGGACACTGTGATAGGAAAACAGGTCTTGTTAGGGAGATTCATCAAGTTCAAGTTGTCATCCAATGTGTGGCATTAAGATTTTTAAAAGGTACAGTCTCAAATATGTAAATTTGGTAGTTTGAAGCGGCAATGAACACAATTCATCTAATTCCCTTGGTGACTGTGCAATGGTAATAAAAACCCAATATTAAGCACAACAGAGCTGTATGGTGATATTAAAGGACAACTGTGCGAATATCTACAGTAGAATAGAAAAATACCTGCCATGATTAAACCACTATACCACAGACTCTTGTCTTTGATATCATTTTAAGGGCAGCCTCTTGAAATGTGGATGTTGATAAAACTTGAAGTGGTTCCTTCCACATGAACAAGAGGCCAAGGAGCAGTGTAGAGATTTAGAATTTGTGATTCTCTTACTGTCACTGTGAGGAATCATTTAATTCAGTGTTACAGTGAATTGGAGTGGTTTTGTTTTAAATTCCTTCCCCTGAAACTAATGATTCACAAAATGCTTGCTGAAGTGTTAAAGCACCTACTAGTGACACCCACTGCCGGTGTCACTACAAACACATACGTAAGCGTGTACTCTACGACATGGAAAGGTGTTGTAAACACAACACCTTGTTCAACTCTGGCCTTCACAGTGAAGCTCATGCACAGTGCGAACAGCATTTACACAGTCCCTCACAAAGTGGCCTCATATATTTGTTTGTGCAGGCTGTTATGAAAGTTATGTGAGTCAGGGTTTGACTGCTGTGGCTGTGCATTAATACGGTGCGTTTGTGGATGTGTGGGAGAGGTGGATTGTGTTTGGGGCTGTGCAGAGCGCTGCTGACATGAAAGACTCTTTGTACAGCAAGTTTTAATGAATTGGTGTGCAGATGTTTGAAGGTAACAGCACTGGTGCATATACGTGTGGGTGTGTGTATGTGTGTGTTCAAGCGTGGGTTTGTTCAGTAAACAGCTAGTAGATAACAGCTTAGGGGAGCGTATGGAACAAGCTGTGTAGTTTTATGAGATTAATGAGGTATTTAATTAGAAACACTAAGCAGAAAAATTGAACATTTTGATAAAACTCACTTAAATATTACAATGGCACTTTAATGCTTGTTTCAAGGAGGGAATGTTTACTGTTCATTAAAAAAAAACTAAGGAAATGCATTGATAAATGCATTGAATATTGATTAAACAATAATACTGGATGCAGCTGGATGTGGGTAATTTAAGTGACTCAAATTACATTTCTGCACCAGGTACCACAAAATTAGTTGAACAATAAAATAATAGCTGAAAAGAATATTGCATTTCTTAGTTTTTGTATTCAACACATACTGTATATCCTTATCTTTAAGCAAAAGACAACAGAAATTTCTTGAGAAACTTTGAATTCTTATAATGAATGTTTGTGAATCTTGGGAAATCAAACCCTATCCACATTTGCTTGACAGCTGAGGAGAAACTGGCATTAATTTCTGCCTCCATCACATTTTCCTGCAGTCTGTTGTCTCTCTGCCCTCATCCTCTGTCAGTCTGCTCTTCTTAACAACCCATCCCACTGGTTGTATAGGTCAGCGCTGAAAGGGGTCAGCAGGCCAGTGCGATCAATATGGACACATACACACACTCTGAGTGTGTAGAGATCAGATGTCCCAGTAGAAACAAGCTTGTGCTCTCGTGACCTCTGATCTGTTACATACTGTATGTGTGTGTGTGTCTGTACTTTTTTCTGTCTTGTTGCTCATTTGATGTTGATGTGAGTGAGGTGTACATTTGTAATTGTTGCTTTTGTACTGATAATACTTAGTTTTTGTGTAAAAATGAAGCTTCATGGTCATTTTTTGGACCTTAATTGATTGAAGGGTTGTTCTTGTTTGATAGTTATCATTTCTTTCAGCATTAACTTCAACAAGATAAAATATTCTTCATCTGTTGCCTCAGCAGATGTGTTCTATCGATTAGTGTACACTGTGTTCTCTCTGTGCGTCTGTACGCGTGGCCACCCTTTAATACCACTTTTAATTCGGGTTTAATTGTTTATTTGTGTGCTCGCACACACTGTAACGCCACTGATCTTGACCACTGTGTAAGCCCAGTGAATGTTCTGCTGCTTCCACAACACTTAGCTGTTTGCAGGAAGCTTAATCTCCAGTCTCTCAAAGGGTAAAGTTCATCTTGAGACACAGAATTCATTCAGTTGAAGGGAAAATAGAATTTAAATTGAAATTCATCAATTAATTGAGTGAAAATAAAATGGATTGGAATGGATTCTTGGATGAAACACTTCCTTGATTTCCTCTAAGAAATTCAGGTCATTGAATAAAAGGAACATACAGTTTTAAGGAATTAAAACAAATTACTGATGTTTAAGTATTCATTTCCCAGGATGCCTCTTTTCTGAAATCAATAACACTAGACTTTTTGCAATTAGATTCCGGTGCAATTTAGAGACTGCAGAGCCTAAAATAGAGAGAAATGCAGAGGGAAAAAAAAATGCAATAACCTATGTGAAAAACTCTTACCCCATATCAGCAAAAACAATTTTGCAGCCCTACTTAATGTGTTTCAGTAACAGATACTCAAACTTTGCTCCCCATATCAGAAACTACTGTATTCAGTCGTCTTAAACAAAAAAGGTAATTCAGTCGCTCGTAGAAGTTATGTGATTCAGCTTTTCAGCCCAGAGCTGCTCAGACTGGAATTCAGCTAATTAGTACTTCTCTCTGACGCGCTCGGAGGAGCTCATGTGAAATAGAGAGGTCATATAATTATAGCCCTGGAAAAACCCTGGGCTGTATGTGTGTAATATGTATAAGTGTGTATACACGGTTGTGTTTTAATGTGTCTGTTACACCTCCAGGCTGTGCGTATCTGGTGATCCTTATGAGATTCTGTTTTGTGTGGTTTTATTTGCATGCTCAGCCTTTTGTGAGTACAAGGGCTGACCTCCCTCACTTTCTCTATTTGCCAATATGATGAAATAAGACTTAAACTCTTGTGGCTATAACTCCAAATGAGAAATTATACTTCTTGCCTCAGGACCCAATTACAGTATAGCAAAATTGTTCTGTGTGAAGAAACCGCTTAATTGGCTGAGCATAGTTTGTCATTTTCCTGGTCTAAAACGGATCAGGTGTAGCAGAGAGAAAGAGGTACCTATTCAAATAAATTGATAAAATAAAATGTAGAATACCCAGATTTGTGTAAGAGACAGTACAAAAAGTGGCACTGTGCCAAAATTGCCTCACAAACAACACTTCAACATTACAATACACCTGGAAACAGGCCTTGAAGAGAGTATCACTTGTTACCAAACACCAGGGATGTCAGTCCTGAAAGATGAAAAATTTCAGTGTGTGTATCTGACCCTGACTTCTGATGTATCTGTGTATCTGTTTCTTTGCAGCATGTGGAAGGGCCTGAATGTCAACTGCACAGACAGCTCAGGATATACACCTTTACATCATGCTTCACTTAATGGACACAGGTAAGACTGCACACGAGTATTTATAAAGATATATTCATCAGTCAGTCAGTTAGATTGAATGTGAGTGTATATGTTTTAGGATGATATCTAATCATTATTTTCCATGTTTAATTTAATTTATAAAAGCAGAATGGAAAATACTCATGAAACACAATCTACAAATTTGAGAAGGTGACACTGTCAGATTAATCGTATTTTTTATTTCATAAATTACTTCAACAATCAGTCAAAATTAATATTGATTCATTTTCTGTAAGTCCACTGAACTGTTTCAGTATTCATTTATTGGAGTGTTGAAAGGTCTTATACATAAAAAACTGTAGTCGGGGGAAAAAGTGAGTGGCTGTTTTCTTATTTCTGCTGTCTGGTGAAGACAAAGTATAATGGCAGACATGGAACATTATCGATTATACGGTCGTGTTTTGTCCACCTGATGAATGTAAGTTCAATATCCACTCTCCTTTTAGCCCTGCCCTTGGTCTCTTTCAACTCCTTAGGCCAGTATCTGAATCTCTAGTTATCTGCCCAACGATGTGTGTTCACCATCATGTCGCTAACTGTGTCTGTTTGCCCCTTTTGCCAAACAGATGGTGTTTAACGGGATTTTAGATCTTTTTTTCGCCAAAACAGCTGCCTGTTGCAACCAGTAACAAAGCTGAGGGAACAATGAGGCTGAATCAAAACAGTAAATTTGACGGCAGGTTGACGTTGAGCTAACCCTCTTGTGGAGCTGCAGATTCGACTTCGAAGCGATTTTAGAGTGGTCTGTAGAGTTAGACCATTCTTAATTTTGCTCCTAGCAAGTTAGACAGATTTGCAAAAATAAAAACCGACTTATTCTAAGGGTAAGGGTATAGTTAGCTAGCCATCCTGCTTCCAAGCTAGCTCTGGAGTCTTCCTTCCATGGTAACACAAGCTAATAAGTGTTTCCGTGGCAACGCAATCAGTGACACCTGCTGCACAGTGGCATTAAACAACAGGAGGGAAACGTCGTGAATAATTTGTGGTTTTCTAACGATATTAAGAAAGAAAATGGTGTAGAATAATGGTGGTATAGGTAATAGAGACCGAAATAACACGTTGGAAATATACAGCAGTCAGTCGTTTTTTTATTTTTTATTTTTCGTGAGTGTTAGCAGAAGTACTGAGCCTTGCGACATTAGGAGGCCACAACCTCAGCTCCGCTACAGGTCTGGACTGTATTAAGATTTTATGCTAATGCTACTTTTGTGTTGCTGCCTTCTTGTAAATTTCCCAGTAAATTTTCCAAGTAATTGTTGAATTCTTTCTGAATCTAAATATTATCTGTTGGCGTGAAGGGCACCCATGTTTTTTTTTTTAAGTTTTAAAAGTCTTAATATAACCAAAGTGACAAAGTAGTCCTACGCAACATTGTTAAGAAATGGACATTTTTGTGCAATTGATACATATGAAGTCTGACAATTGATTTGGTCTAATCCCAGATGAGCAGCATCATTCACATTGTCACCGAATTGTCTTTTGATATGTTGTCATTGTAAAAATATAGATTATAGTCTTTTTAGATAAAGTTCGAACGAATAAATAAAAAAGGGCTCCAAAATGACTTTCCAGGCAGAAATATAATTTGGTGGCAGGCAGCACATTTCTGAGTTAATCTAATGAGTTTTAACCACGTTCCATTAGATGACGACTCACAGAATTTAGAAATAATGTAATCTTCAAATTAAGTTAAATTGTACTTAAATGCTTTTCATGTAATCACTTTAAAACTAGCTGGCACTGTTTCTGGGTTAGGACACAGTATTGTCTACTCTGTGGCAACAAAACCAACCAATTCAAAAATTAAAACATAGTATTTCTGTGTTGATTGAATATCTTTTAAGTGTCTACATCTGTATGGGACTACAGTGCAGCTGCCTTTTTTCATTTGGGCTGCTGAGAAATCCGTTACACAGTGTGGATTAGCTGCAAGCCTCACTGCTATCACAGTTTGACGGAACTGAAGGATTAGTACTGTGTTTTGGGGGCAATTATGTGGATTTCCTCCTTCAGATCAACTGGAGGAGAGGAGGGAGGGAGAGAAAAATGCAACCTCAGAGTGAAAATTAGGCCGCCAACAAAAATCTGCAGAGGAGTGATTTAAGATTTAGGTGGGAAAGTAAAAAGAGAAATGGCAATTAAGATAAAGACAGTAGACACTTGGCAACAGGCAGTTCTGTATTCAGAGATTTGTGATTCAGGATGAGTTTGAATTGTTTTTGAGATCATTTTAATTATTTTTTGCAACATTAAAAGCTTTTCAATGTGGCACACATGCTGAATCCAATCACCAAGAAGTTGAATATCGTCATGTTTGACCCTCAGATCCTCCCTGTGTGATTCTGCTGCTGAACTGACACTTAAACCTGAGTGAATTCTGTGAAAATATAATACATTATTGAAATTAACAAAGCAGTTCATTAAGGATCCTCTGTGCTGCTTTCACCCCTGCTCCTGGGAGAGGTTTTGCCCTTCTCTGTTCTCTGTTCCTCCCCCTGACATTTCGAATGCAAATGAAGCACTTCACCTTTTCTCTTCAGACAGGGGTGACAACTTCAGCCGAAGGCTTGCTAATATGAAACAGTAGCACTGACATTACTATCTAGCTGTAGCTAAATTGATTTCCAGCACAAACCCCAGCTCTGATTTGTCACTTTGTCTATTTGTGTAATGGGGATTACTTTATTAGAGGGAATGTATTCTGAAATTTCCCTTTGGGATTAATAAAGTACTCTGTCTGTCCACCTGCCTGCCTGCCTACCTATCTCTAAATAACATTGAGGCAGTTGCATTCTGTCAATTCTTGATTATTTCCAGTTGAACTCCTTATTTCCTATGTACTGATCACTCACCCACAGGCTACTGTAATTACCTCAATGACCAAAGAAGTAGGGTCTCTGAGGAGGTGCTAACTTGTTGCCAGTCAGGGCACACGGCTCCCAAAGAAAAAGTCAAAAGACCAGTTATTAATCACAGAAACTCCTTGCTGCACCCACCTCTTGAGCTTTAAAGTCTTTTTTTTTTGTACGCAAGGGGAACATTTTAACTATCAGATGACAGCGAAAACTGGCACTGAACTGATAATGAGAGAACAGACAACCAATTTGTTTAACCAGATATCAACAAGGTAACAAGGTATGAGACCATTGGAACAAAAGTGCTTGCGTTACTAGTTTGACTTTGTTAAGTTTTATTTCCTTCTATAAGCAAGTCAGGGAAATTTGGTGAAGTGGTTAATTGTAAAATGTGTTGACTTTACACTCAGCACCTTTTGGGATATTTTGGTTTAAAATCAGGGTTAGAAATTTTTGATTTGCTGTTCTCAATGGAAATGTGACAATATTCTATAATATGAATTGCTCATCTCTGCTTCCTCCTCTCTCTCTTTCTATCCCTCCACACTCAATCTGTTAATCTATTGATCTGTATATGTCTGTATCTGCCTTCCTCCTTCTCTCTCAGGGATGTGGTACTGAAGCTGCTACAGTTTGAGGCGTCCACAAATGTGGCGGACAGCAAAGGTTGCTTCCCGCTGCACCTGGCTGCCTGGAGGGGAGATGTGGACATCGTCCGTATCCTCATCCACCATGGACCCTCGCACTGTCGGGTCAACCAACAGGTAAACACCGCAATAGCATAGTGTCTCTCCTCGGTCTCACTTAAGACCCTAATTCTCATTCTGAAAGGATCTTTATTAAGAAATACTGTAGACATGCAAGGAAGCAGGCAGGAAGGGGAATGGTTTAGGAGGTTTTCAGTCAACCCCAGAACCTTAGTTCATGCCAAATGTTGGTGAAATCCACCCTGCTCAGGTATCCTGCGAGGCACTAGGCCTTGGCCCGTGATAATTTCTGGTACAAATCCACACAGCCAAAAGATGCGTAAGGAATGCAAATTTTGAGCTCATGATAACACAGCTTGCACCTTTTGACACACTAAACAGCTCTTTGTGGGTCCACTCAGATCCGAGGAACCAAGACCTGACTTGGGACCTAAGTTAGACTAGTTAGTTCCAATTATACTAATACCTGAAACAAACAATATGTTAATCAAACCTTTCTACATGTTACTGTGGACCCCTGAGCTCCCACTTATGATAAATCATTCAATTTTGGCTAAAAGAAAGACTTTCCCTTTATTTTGTAGCTGAACAAGATAGGTCTCATCCACTAAATTAAAGCTGAGGTGTACTTCTCAGGGCATGTAAACCAGCCCTGCCACAGGTCGTCTCTTTTTGGCTCCTGTCCAATAGAGCTGATTCTTTACAGTTTCCACTGATCGCTCTCTGATAGACATATGAGCGTTTCAGCTCTGGGAGCATTGAGCCTGCCACTGCTGTCATTCCTCATCAGCAAAAATGACCTTTTTCTCCTCCCTCGCTCTTTCTGTCCATCTCTGCTTGCAGCATATTGATTATGTCATGGTTCACTGATGCGCTGCTTTTTAAGATGAACATGAGGTGTTTAATCAGAAGTCTTGGCTAAAATGTTAATGACTAAGATGTCTTTTTTTTAATATTCCTGCTCCTGATGGCGGTGGAGTAATGGACCCCCCAGGTTATTGGAGCGTTATTTACTCTGCCTAATAAGCGCATTTTCCTCTGTCACCATTAGCCAAATCATTTCCCTCTGAGAGTTGTTAGAGCCTAATTGTTTGCCGTGATAAATGGTGTCCCTTGCCCTTGAATTGAAGAGGTTTGTCAGCAAGTATACACGAGTAATTTTCTTTTTTACCCTGTCAATGATTTGTAGAACTGAGCTGAGCGGGCTGCTTTGCAGGCAGAGTGAATACACACAAAGTGGAAGCTGCTGATTGAGAAGATGTTGTACATAGATGCTGACTTCAGAGAAGTCGCTGTGTGTGTGTGCTCTTGTACTGTGTCATTGAAGCCCATTTGAAGATCTCCTGTCACAGGCTTTTAGACTTTTTCAGTTTGTGGTACACTGTGCAAAACTTTGAATCCATGTTATTTATTTAATGATTTGTTACATTTCCTAGAATTAATTCAACAAACCCTGGAGAAGCAGCTTCTCTCTGCTGTTTGTGTGTAGGAGGTGAGACTTGTTAGCTATAAGGCATAATTTCCCAGTCAAAGAAAGCTAACAATAGACAGTGTAATGCTGTTTTGTCAGTATTTGGTGTGTGGTACAAATAAGAACCATGCAGAGATGATGTGTTTTACATTCTGCCAACATCTGCAAAGATTCAAGCTGTGGCTCCATCACAGTTTGGTCTATTGAGTAACAGTTTTTCTTGATCAGTGGATTTCTTAATAGTGTGGAATCTAAAGCAAAATAGTGATTTTACAAGGATGTTTTTGCTGTTCTCCAGTGTTTTAGGGAAGATTGTGTTATAATGCCAAGCTTGCAGTGCTGTTGTTTGGGCTAATGTGTATAAAGAGTAAATACGGTTAACATACCTATAGTAGTTTGTATATCTGCATTTATGCAAATGTTGGATCCATACTAAAATTTTGACAATATAGTGTTCATGCCAGGTTTGAAACAGCATCTTGCTCTTGATAACAGATCATTCTAACCTGGTAATTTATCTCTTTCTTTCTTTTTTTCATTGTCTTTATCATGGTTCATTTGCTCGTTTGCTCATTTTTTTGTGTTGCAGATTTTAAAAACTAGGGACAAGAAGTCTATTTATACATGAACAGTTAATTACTGGAACACAGTGAACAAGTCAGGGAATCAACTGAATTTATTTTTAATTTGATCTTTGTAATTACTTCAAATGTGCTATATGGTCTTGCTTTGCTTTTTTTCAGTCTTGTACAACAAAGTTCTGTCAAACATCTCTGGATATGTAACAGAGGGCCAGTAATAATAATTTCACAGGTATTCATGAATATTTGAAATACAGTCTGCATTCATTAATTACAGTGAAATATGCATATTCATTAATTGAACCTTTGTAAGCAGTAAATGCCTTTGGGAGATAAAATGATGTTTGTAAAATACACATTTTTTAAACTAAGTACAAAATAAATTAATATAAATATAAGGATTAAAGGGATTCCTTTTGGTTAGGTTTGAAAGTTGGCTCATATTCATGTGCATCTGTGAAGTGGAAAAATACTTTTGTTGGGAACATTTTTTGAATAATGTAATTATACTCATCGCCTTTCTTGTATCTCTCTTTGTATCTTATATCCAAGTTTGAGCCTTGCTTATCAACAAGCTGCCGATGACTGGTTTTATCTCTCATGTCATCAACAATTCCATCTCCCCTTCTACAAAATAAACACAGGGGAAAATGCTAAGCTACAGAGCGAACCTTAGCAAGCCTGCTCTTTGACATTCTTAAAGGTGCAGTGTTTGTTTTCCCTTAAGCGCTGAATATGACAAAACATTGATTTAGCACCAATTTGAAATTATGGTACTTAAGAATTTTTATGATGCTGCATGCTGCATATTTGTACAGTAGTCTTTGCTTTTATGTGTTGTCAGTGTGACGGTTCAGTACTCAGGTTGCAGGCATAAATCTGAGAGGAAGATTTATAGAGTGTTTGTGTGTTTATGATGCCTAAGCTCCATATTTTTCCACTGTCTTGTCTGTAGCAGAAAGCAGCACTGCATACATTAGTCAGTGTGATATACTGAGTCTCACACATGCTCACACCCATCATCAAGACTTACAGCAGCAAGCCATTGGCTGCACATTACCCCTTTCTCAATGATATTACTCTACCCACGCACACCATTACTCGTGTCAGAGGTTATATGTGTGTGTATATCTGTGAATGTGTGTGTGCAGCTTAGTTTTATTGGGTGACTTCAGTCTTTGACTACAGTCTTTGTCTTTATATCTGCTCTTTTCTTACACGGGAGAGAGAGAGAAGCACATTTGTCTTAACCTTTGTGCATGAGGTGGCAAACAGTGACATGACAGACATGAGGAAAGGATACGGGAGTGAGTAGTAATGAGTGGTCGTACGAGTGTAAAGAAAAAGGGACAAGATCGACAGAAGAGAAGTAGTGGAAGTGTGTAGGTGGGCCAGGCCCAGGCTGCAGCCAATAGAGTATTACTTGAGATGAGGGGATGTTATTAGTTGGCGGTAAACCAGTTCTAGCCCACTGTTTACCACCTAATTGGTCCCAGTAGTTCGCATTCACAGCTGTTTTTGTTTATTGTGGGAGCATGTGAGTCTTTGAGAGAGGTGGAGGCTGTCTGAGTGGAGAAGATGTTTATACATACTGTGTGTTCATGTTTATGTGTGTGTTTGTATGTGTGAGAGACAGTGAGACAGTGATTGATAGAGAAAGATTGCTTGTTTACTCAAGGCTTGCACTCTGCTTGCAGGGCCAAATGCATGTTTTGACGGCTGAGGCGCTGTTTGCTGTGATCTCTCTTTCTCCCACTGAGACTGACTGATAAACTGATGGTTCACTCTTTGTGTGTACCTAAAGAAAGCAGATTAAATAAAAAGATTTAAATATCTTTTAAAATAACTGAAATCAATTTTTAAAGTTCATATCATCTTCAACCAAAAGGTTTTGCAAAAATGGCCTGTTAACTTCTATAGGCCAGTTTTTGTAAATTTCAGCCCTTAAAACAGAGGCGATACAAGTTTAGTAAGTCATATTTTTTACTAAGTCATCACTCAGATACAAAAGAGATGTTTTCCCCTTGACCTATTTTTGCAGACAGCTGGGATCATCACATCGCTTTTCAAAGATGATGGAGTCCCACGGTGTTTGTTACCTGTACTGATCTGAAATGAACTGGAAATGATAAGAGAGATTTGAGTGGCTGAGCTTTCCTCCAGGTTGTGAGAAGCCTAATCATTTTCCATCCTTAAAACATTAAATCAAGGGTCCGTCTGGACTTGAAAGGTAAATTGAGTAAGCTGCCCAGGGGCAGTAAGAACAACAGGTGCAACACTGTTGAAAGTAATTATTTATACCATGGTCCAAAGCAAAAGTTACTGGCAGGTCCCACTTACCAAACTGAATAGTAAGATAACCTTTTTTTGAATCCCTTCCTCCTTTTGGCCTTCATGCAGGCAAATTGAGTGGAACTCAACAGTAAGGATAATTTAGAAAAACTTCCTGGTGGTACATTCAAGGATGCTCTAATCTTTCTGAAAGCTTTTTGGTCAAAGCAGGCCTTTAGACATACAAAACCACCTCAAAATAAAGAGCAGAGCTGGATTATAAAGGCTATTTTAGTTGTCTGACTGGCTTTGTGAGTGACAGTTGCATCATACAGTCTGTTGACGTAGAGCAGATGTGTGTGTGTGTGTGTGTGCATGTGTGTGTGGTGTGTGTGTGGTGGTGTGTGTGTCGTTGATGTGTTGTGTGGATGTGTGGTGTGTGTGTGTGTGTGTGTGTGTGTGTGGTGTCGTTTGTGTGTGTGTGTGTGTGGGTGTGGGTGTGTGCGTGGGACTCTACATGCACTCGCTCGATACCGGTTCCTTCCAGCAAACGCCGCGAACACTCGTGTGTGTGGGGCTGCGCGTGTGTGTGGGGCTGCGCGTGTGTGTGGGGCTGCGCGTGTGTGTGGGGCTGCGCGCGTGTGTGTGTGTGTGTGGGAACCAGCATGTAACCTTTTGGCTTGTTCTGCATGGGGCCTCTGGACTAGTCAATTTAGGGGTTATTCTGTGTGCAC